CATCCCAACCGTGAAGCACAGGGGTGGCAGCATCATGCTGTGGGGGTGCTTTGCTGCAAGAGGGACTGGTGCACTTCACAAAGTAGATGGCATCATGAGGAAGGAAAATTATGTGGATATATTGAAGCAACATCTCAAGACATCAGTTAGGAAGTTAAAGCTTGGTCGCAAATGGGTCTTCCCAATGGACAATGACTCCAAGCATACTTCCAAAGTTGTGGCAAAATGGCTTAAGGACAACAAAGTCAAGATATTGGAGTGGCCATCACAAAGCCCTGACCTCAATCCTATAGAACATTTGTGGGCATAACTGAAAAAGCGTGTGCGAGCAAGGAGGCCTACAAACCTGACTCAGTTACACCAGCTCTGTCAGGAGGAATGGGCCAAAAATCACCCAACTTATTGTGGGAAGCTTGTGGAAGGCTACCCGAAACGTTTGACCCAAGTTAAACAATTTAAAGGCAATGCTACCAAATACTAATTGAGTGTATGTAAACTTCTGACCCACTGGGAATGTGATGAAATAAATAAAAGCTGAAATAAATAATTCTCTCTACTATTATTCTGACATTTCACATTCTTAAAATAAAGTGGTGATCCTAACTGACCTAAGACAGGGAATTTTTACTAGGATTAAATGTCAGGAATTGTGAAAAACTGAGTTTAAATGTATTTGTCTAATGTGTATGTAAACTTCCGACTTCAACTGTACATGCAAATACAGGGTGGGAGAGAGAAACAGGAAGTGAACAAGAGCGAGAGAAAAAGGGAGCGAGAGAGAGAAAGAGGAAGTGAATGATTGATAGAGAAGGCGCATCAGTATGGTTTCTCTCTATCCCTCCAGTAGGACAGTGACACACCCAGCGAGTATGATTCATGATTATTATAATATCCAGACTGAATTAAGGCAGCGCTGCTCTTTAACAGATGTAATTTAAATTATGTAAATTACTTCTCGCTCAGAATACTAGTATTTAATTCCGGGAAAAAGCATGATTGTGTAACCTAAGCATTTGTATGTAATTCATTTTAGAGTATGTGAATATGGAACAAAATGAAAGTTTGTGGGTTCGATTCCCACGGGGGACCAGTACGGGGGGAAAAACTACAAAAATGCATCCACTCACTACTGTAAGTCGCTCTGGATAAGAGCGTCTGCTACATGACTTAAGTATATGTACTCACGCACACATAAACCACCAGACGGAAGGCATTTCATTTAATATGATCAGCGAGAACATTCTCTCTTTATTTGTATCTTTTTTGAAAAACAAGTGTTTTGTTTTATTTTTTTGTAATTGTCTTGTGTTAACATTTTCAGAATTCTGTACAGGATAAAAAGAAATAATCACTGCTTTAGGTACAGAGTCAAAAAATCAAACTAGAAAAAAATAACTTCAAAATCAACATTAGAAGAAGTTTACAATAGAAATTAGTAGTAAGACATTGTCAGAAGTGCAATGGCATAGCTCTGATGGGTTAAGAGTGGGGGAAAAAATTCGGAAATAAAAATACTTCTCTATTTTTAATAAAAACAAACACATTTCTTTACAGAGTAGAGACAGTATTATCTGATGGACTTCAACCTTGTAAAAACATATTTACAAATAGCCATTATTTATTTCATATATTTTTTTCTCATCGTCACCACATGTACATCAGCACCAGTAGAAATAAAAAAAAAGTAAAAGTAAAAGAAAGAGAAATGACAACAGTTGACGACAATAAATGATATAGAAAAATGACGTCTACGTTTGACTTGGTCCCGGAAATAATGACGGCACCACTAATGCCACCCTATTCCCTATCTAGTGCACTACTTTCAACCATGACCCATAGTTATATGGTGCCATTTGGGATGCAGTCAATGATATTTGGAGGAAGCTATTTTTTTTTTTTTTTGGAAGGGAAATCCTTCACTTTGACAAAGAGGATCAAAAGTCAAGGGTCGCGACATTTCGTGACCTTTAGGATCCATAACACTGACCAGGAAGTGTTTAATTCTCACCCTTCACACTCGACAGCAGCCCCCCTCGGAGTAGGACGAAGTTACCCCCCTAGACACTGATCTAAGATCAGTTTTGTGTTTGTCCTCTCCCAACAGTAAAGGTTAGGGTTTGAGGATGGGAAACCGATCCTAAATCTCCCTTTAAGGGATACTTTGAGCTGGAGCATGTCTTTCTCACAACACTACAGAACCACAGAGGATAGCCTACATTCCCAAAATATAAAAGAAAATAAAACGAAACATTTATCAAAACAATTTCATGGGCGCTTTACAATTTCATGGGCATTTTACCAACCGTAGCTGTGCTTTGCAGAGAGGTCTTTTAACTTTAAACTCAGACTTCGATACACAAAAACGATGTGTATATTTGACAGAATATAAATCAACAATATTTGTGTGTTTGCTATAACGAGGAAGTGAACTAAACATGGTGTTAGACTAGAGAAGGCTTTTTGGCTGGTTTGTTGACATGACAGAATTCTCATGTTCTCATTACATTGACGTTTATAGAAGCCTGGGGTTAAACGTACCTCTTTCCCCGTCCAACATCTCACCATTGGGGGATAAAAAGGAGGGAGACACTGACTTCAATGGAAGCACTGGTAATAGTATAATTGTACTAGCTCATTGTTTTAGCCTCTCCACCTTGTTAGGGTTGGAGGCCTGTATGTTTCCCTCTTCACAGTCAAACAGTTCATGGTTGCAACACATCCAATCAACACAACAGAGCTCCGATTGGCTAATTCATCCACAGCTTTTTGCATGTAGACCCTACTAGACTAGAGCAACAGAGAAAATAACAGAGAGAGATAGTAGGAATTGTGTTGAAAGTTAAGTTCACTGTCAAAATAACATTTCATTTCAGACCAATTCGGGAGAAAATTATAATTTAAAAAAAATCTATAAATACATCAATTTTTATTTATTTAAAAAAGCACTAAAAAATGATAATAACATGTCCGAGGGGGCTCAAAGATGTCCGACAATGGTTTTTAGTTTCTATTTCAAATGAAGTCACTTGTGGTGCTTGAATACATTCAATACCTAGCTAGTCTGTTTAGTCAATTTCTATATATATTTGATAATAACACAGACAGATGATGATGTTACATTGTTGCCACTACTCCCTTAACTGCCTTCTGACTGGCTGACTGAACAACTGGCTGACTGGCTGAACGACTGGCTGACTGGCTGACTGCCTGACTGAACGACTGGCTGACTGGCTGACTGAACGACTGGCTGACTGAACAACTGTCTGACTGGCTGACTGATCGACTGGCTGACTGAACGACTGAACGACTGGCTGGCTGAAACGACTGGCTGACAATAATCTACTTCTCCTCTCAGCCGTTGGGGAGTAGTGTGTGTGTGGTGTGTAACAGCTACCAGCGAACAGGAAATGAAGAGGAGCTCAAGTTCTCGGCTCAGAGAGAGAGAGAGAGCAGGCCGGTTGCTTAGCAACAGGACCGTGGGGCGACCGCGCGGCGTTTGCGCTGAATACCGCTACAGAAGAGGAACACGATTTGTTTTGTTCTGATGTTTTCACAGTACACACAGCCAGACGAACAAACCAACAAACGCAGACAAAAAACAAGTCTCTAGAGAGGAGAGAGGGAGAGAGACAGAGGAGGGAGGGAGAGAGAGTGGGGAGGGATGGAGGGAGGGAGGGAGAGAGGGGAGGGATGGAGGGAGGGAGGGAGAGAGGGGAGGAAGAGAGGGAAGGAGGGAGGGAGAGGAGGAAAGTGGGGAGGAAGGGAGAGAGGAGGAAAGTGGGGAGGGAGGGAGAGAGTGGGGAGGGATGGAGAGGGGGAGAGAGAGTGGGAGGGATGGAGAGAGGGAGAGAGAGGGAGAGAGAGAGGGGAGAGAGGGGCAGGGAGGGTGAATAGAAATGTGAAACAGGGAAGAAATGGGAGCAGTGAGCTGATAGCTCTCTTCTGAGCACTGATGGCTGTCACAGAAATGGGTTGACGTGACGGTGTGTGTCTGTGTGTGTTTATCTCCTGGTCTGTCTGTATGTCTGCTCGTTTGACTGTCTCTCTTCTGTCTTTAAAAGGACCTGCATGTGTATAAATGCTACGATCCATCACACACAGCATGAATATAACATGGAGGGGATTGATGTGAAACCTGTCAGACACAATCCAATAACCCAGGTATCGAAGAAAAACTCATATTGAAAAACAAATATTAAAAAGATTCTCCACCGTTTTGAGAGCTTGGAGTCAGTCTCCCATCTCCCCTGTCTTGAAGTCAGTCTCTCCTGTCTTGTAGTCAGTCTCCTCTCTCTCCTGTCTTGTAGTCAGTCTCCTCTCTCTCCTGTCTTTTAGTCAGTCTCCTCTCTCTCCTGTCTTGTAGTCAGTCTCCTGTCTCTTCTGTCTTGTAGTCAGTCTCCCATCTCTCCTGTCTTGTAGTCAGTCTCCTCTTCAGTCTCCCATCTCTCCGTCTTGTAGTCCGTCCCTCTCCTTTAGCAGTCTCCTCCTGTCTTGTAGTCAGTCTCCCATCTCTCCTGTCTTGTAGTCAGTCTCTTCTCTCTCCTGTCCTGTAGTCAGTCTCCCATCTCTCCTGTCTTGTAGTCAGTCTCTTCTCTCTCCTGTCCTGTAGTCAGTCTCCCATCTCTCCTGTCTTGTAGTCAGTCTCCTCTCTCTCCTGTCTTAAGCTATCAGCCCAGTTATGACACACTGCTAAAGGGATGGGTTTAAAACATGGCCAAATAGGACAGCAAAACCTAACTCTTCTCTATCTCGAATGATATTTCACAACCACCAGAACGCGTTTACTGTTAGAGGCCTTTTAAATACCGTGACCGCACACACACACACACACACACACATAAATACACGACACAGAACTCTTCTTCTCGTCCGTTCATGCTTTACAAAACAAAATATGGCGACTGTCCGTCTGTCTGTCCAGTTCTCTTGTCTCGATAAAGTTTTCCCCAGTTTGTCGTTAGTCCGTCCAGTAAAAACTCCACAGTACATTTCCAGCTCTGCTATTGGTTGGGGAAGAACTCCTCCATCCAACCGTCACTCGTGTCCAAGTCCGCCCCCGTCCCATCAGCCAATCCGAACCCCCCACCCGACGGCGCCCCCTGCCCGCCCCCGTATCCGTAAGATGACAGGTCCTGACTAGATGTCCTCTGGTAGCCCTGGGGCTGACCTCCGACCCCTACCCCTCCTTGTCCGACATACCCCCCTCCACCTCCAGGGCCCACCCCCATCGCCGGCCCCTGTCCGAAGGCCCCCATGTTGGGCACGCCCTGGCCCATCACCCCCTGTCCCGGCATTACCATGGGTCTGGGCTGGTTGGTCCTGGGCTGGCCTGGTCCAGCCATGTGAGGGGCAATCATGGGCCCGGCCATGCCCGCAGCAGGGTTCATAGCCCTGGGGTCCATGGGCTGTCCCTGACCCATAGCCTGGGGGTGGGGGTGGCCCTGTGGGTGCCCAGGGAAGTGCTGCTTGGCCAGGCGTGGGTGTGGAGGCTGTTGTCCCGGTCCAGGCTGCATGGAACCGTAGCCCCCCTGGGCTGAGCCAAAGCTCACCATATCGCCTGTAGTCCTGCCTGGTCCTCCAACCCCTCCTGGCCCTCCCATCCCCTGGAGGGACTGCCCCTGCTGGGGTGGCCACCCTCCCATCCCTCCCTGTGGTCCTCCTCCTCCCGGTCCTCCTCCTCCGCCTACAATTCCCAGCATGCCTTGCAGCCTCTGGGCCTGGGCTTTGGCGTTGGGCGGGCCCTTGAGGGGCTGCTGGGACATGGAGTTCATCATCATCCCCTGTGGTCCTCCGTATCCTCCTCCACCTCCAACCCCGGGACCTCCTCCTGCCTGCCTCTGGGCCTGCGCCGCTGGGTTGTGTCCTGGTGGTAGCCCCATGGAGGTCTGGACGCTTTGGTTCTGTTGGTGCTGCTGCTGCATCATTTGGCTCATGGAGGGGTTGAGGCTGTAGAGGGACTGCTGGCCGGCTCCCTGCCCGCTGTAGGGGAGGCTCATGTCAGGTTGGGGACCCACCGAGCCCCCTGGGACGCCCTGGTTCATCTGGACCATCTGCTGGTTCTGTTGTTGTTGTTGTTGTTGTTGTTGGAGGAGGCGGGCGGCGCGGATGTTCTGGAGAGCATGGCTCCTAGCCGCCATCTCCTGGGGCGCTCCTGGTGGGACAGAAAGGAGACAGGAGAGGTTAGAGGTCAGAAAGAGAGAAGAAGAGCGGTGGAGAGAGAGAGGACAGGAGGGGAGGGGTTATAGGAGTGTTAAAGAGGAACAAAGGGGTCACTGAGGTTTCTTTTATCAAGATGTCATTTTATTCATAGTTTGTTTACTTCTTATAAGGTCAACAATATTCCACATGTGAAGTACATGATCTTGTTAGCCAGAATGAAGAATGGAAAGTCAAACAAGTACAGAGAACTAGAAACTGAGATGACGTGAGAGAGCCTCTTTAACTCTGTAAAGGTATCCACTTCTGACGATTAAGTGCTGAGTGTTACGTGCCAAACCAAAGTAAAAAAATTGAACTAAATCAACCGGAAAGAAGGATATCTCCATCCCTCTCTTCCTCCTCCCTCCCTCCCTCCTTTCCCTCTATTAGTAACAGAACCTTGGCTTTAACAGGTCGAGCAGAGGAGAAGAAGAGGAGATGAGAGGAGGAGGAATGCATAGCATAGCGTGGAAATGGTTTTAAATCCCCCAATAAACCTCTTCTGACACCATTTCACTAATCTGTTCTCTCCCTCTAACACCCTCTCTCCCTCTCTCCTCTCTAAATGACGTTTAGTGCCCGACAGGAACATTAGACTGTGTCTCAATTGACACCCTATTCCCTACGTAGTGCACTACCTTTGGCCAGGGTTAGCTACATAAACGATCTGCCCATAAGTAGTGCACTATAAAAGGGGAATATATATAGTCTGGGTACCAGTCTGTTTGTGCTAACATTCCACTCCTTGCACTCTGTGTCGTACGTCAAACTGCACAAAACAGGTGTGGATTTCAGGCTAGGGAATATCGGGGTGCCATCTTGTTGCCCATAAGTAGTGCACTATATAGGGGAATATATATATATACATATATAGGGGAATATATAGCCTGGGTACCAGTCTGTTTGTGCTAACATTCCACTATGAAGAGAAGAAAGGCCATTCCCACTGGAGCCAATGTTCTGACTGACATAGTGATATCTGCTAACTAGCACATCTTAAAGGAACTCAGGTTGGACCTTCATCTGATACCCATCTCTACAAACAAGCAATGTTCTGACAGAGTGATTTCTGCTAACTCCCACGTCTTAAAGGAACTCAAGTTGGACCTAAATCTCTACAAACGAGACCTGACAAGACCTCACTAGCTATGTTTCCATTAACTTGTCCAATGATTTTTTGTCCACATTTAGAAAGTTAGCATAGAAAATAGATGCGACAATTGCCTGCTAGGGTGCCTTTCCATTTAACCATCCTGTGTGAATAAAAACAGCTGGATGTAATGATGAAACATAAAAATAAATAAAAATGGGTGTTGAAGTGTTTCCATTACCCATTTAGGCAAACTGCGCATTAATAAATTGCGACAGCCTGTATGACCTCCCATCTGCAGTGGGGAGAACAAGTATTTGATACACTGCCGATTTTGCAGGTTTTCCTACTTACAAAGCATGTAGAGGTCTGTAATTTTTATCATAGGTACACTTCAACTGTGAGAGACGGAATCTAAAACCAAAATCCAGAAAATCAAATTGTATGATTTTCAAGTAATTAATATGCATTTTATTGCATGACATAAGTATTTGATACATCAGAAAAGCAGAACTTAATATTTGGTACAGAAACCTTTGTTTGCAATTACAGAGATCATACGTTTCCTGTAGGTCTTGACCAGGTTTGCACACACTGCAGCAGGGATTTTGGCCCACTCCTCCATACAGACCTTCTCCAGATCCTTCAGGTTTCGGGGCTGTCGCTGGGCAATATGGACTTTCAGCTCCCTCCAAAGATTTTCTATTGGGTTCAGGTCTGGAGACTGGCTAGGCCACTCCAGGACCTTGAGATGCTTCTTACGGAGCCACTCCTTAGTTGCCCTGGCTGTGTGTTTCGGGTCGTTGTCATGCTGGATGACCCAGCCACGACCCATCTTCAATGCTCTTACTGAGAGAAGGAGGTTGTTGGCCAAGATCTCGCGATACATTGCCCCTTCCATCCTTCCCTCAATAAGGTGCAGTCGTCCTGTCCCCTTTGCAGAAAAGCATCCCCAAAGAATGATTTTTCCACATCCATGCTTCACGGTTGGGATGGTGTTCTTGGGGTTGTACTAATCCTTCTTCTTCCTCCAAACACAGCGAGTGGAGTTTAGACCAAAAAGGTCTATTTTTGTCTCATCAGACCACATGACCTTCTCCCATTCCTCCTCTGGATCATCCAGATGGTCATTGGCAAACTTCAGACGGGCCTGGACATGCGCTGGCTTGAGCAGGGGGACCTTGCGTGCGCTGCAGGATTTTAATCCATAACGGCGTAGTGTGTTACTAATGGTTTTCTTTGAGACTGTGGTCCCAGCTCTCTTCAGGTCATTGACCAGGTCCTGCCATGTAGTTCTGGGCTGATCCCTCACCTTCCTCATGATCATTGATGCCCCACGAGGTGAGATCTTGCATGGAGCCCCAGACCGAGGGTGATTGACCGTCATCTTGAACTTCTTCCATTTTCTAATAATTGCGCCAACAGTTGTTGCCTTCTCACCAAGCTGCTTGCCTATTGTCCTGTAGCCCATCCCAGCCTTGTGCAGGTCTACAATTTTAACCCTGATGTCCTTACACAGCGCTCTGGTCTTGGCCATTGTGGAGAGGTTGGAGTCTGTTTGATTGAGTGTGTGGACAGGTGTCTTTTATACAGGTAACGAGTTCAAACAGGTGCAGTTAATACAGGTAATGAGTGGAGAACAGGAGGGCTGCTTAAAGAAAAACTAACAGGTCTGTGAGAGCCGGAATTCTTACTGGTTGGTATATCAAATACTTATGTCATGCAATAAAATGCAAATTAATTACTTAAAAATCATACAATGTGATTTTCTGGATTTTTGTTTTAGATTCCGTCTCTCACAGTTGAAGTGTACCTATGATAAAAATTACAGACCTCTACATGCTTTGTAAGTAGGAAAACCTGCAAAATCAGCAGTGTATCAAATACTTGTTCTCCCCACTGTATATGTTTAATGTTTCAGGTAGCCGGTGAAAGCCAGCATGGATAGAATGCAATAATTGACTAAAAGGCCTATTTACCATATTCTAATAATTGTCATTGTGCCAACGTATCGCCACGGTCCGTGCCATGGTGAAACTTTCACTCCTGTAGATCTGAAATAATACGATGAAACTTGCCATCCAACCAGAAAAGCAAGGCGGAGCAATTCAGGCATTCTTGAAACATAATTTTTTGTTGAAAAAATGGATTTGGCAAGCAGTAGGCATTTAGAATGACCTGTGTAGCCTAGTGGAGCTTTATAGTTACGTGATGACATCACGTGCCCCACATACCTTCAAAAGTATTCGTCAATCATCATTTATTTTAAAAAAAAACTGTTTCCATCATCATTTATTCTGAAAAACACTGTTTCCATCATCATTTGTCGCAATAAATAAAGTTAGACAAAAGAAAACTCCACCCCTGTCCAACGGATAAAAATGTTGTCAATCTTTACAAAACGTGTCCTATATCTGCCATTTCCATCACACGTCACACTTGTTTTTTTGCGACATTGCTTTTGTCTATTAAACCTGGTCAATGGAAACCTGCATACTGACTCCTCTCCTCTCTTCTCCCTCCCTCTAGTTATCACTTTCCTCCCTCTGTTAGAAAGACTATATTTAATAGCTGCAAATGTCTCTTTATCTTCTTCTGCCTCCCCCGCCTCTGTTTCTCTCTGTCACACTCTCTCTCCCTCTCTCTCTCTCCCTCTTCGTCTCTCTCTCTCTTCCTCTCTCCCTCTATCGCTCTCTCTCTCTCCCTCTCTCTCTTCGTCTCTCTCTTCGTCTCTCTCTCTCTCTCTCTCTCTCTCTCTCTCTCTCTCTCTCTCCCTCTCTCTCTTCGTCTCTCTCTCTCCCTCTATAGCTCTCTCAGGGAGGAGCAGATCTGTCTCTCTCTCCGACAGCGTCGCCGGAACCCTGGGGGATCCGGGACAGGTTGCCAAGGTAACAGGCAGAGCCAGAATATTTTTCCGGAGGAAATTACCGATGAGGAGTAGCGGAACGATATGGAACGCCTCCGACGGGGGGAGAGAGAGAGAGAGAGAGGGAATACGCAGAGGAGAATCTGACTGGTCAGAGATGATCTCATGTTCAACAGTGTGTGTGTGTGTGTGTGTGTGTGTGTGTGTGTGTGTGTGTGTGTGTGTGTGTGTGTGTGTAAGGTTTATGAGCACGCGTGGGGTATGTAAGGATGTGTGCATGTGTGTCTGTGTTTGTGTTTGTGCATGCACATGTGCATGTGTTTCCATGCATGTGTTTGTGGGTATGTCAGGGTTTAGGTGTGTGTGTATGTGTATGTGTACTGGTTGACCTGTGGGTGTGTGCCTGTGTGTGTGTGCACGTGTGTGTATGTGTGTGTACTGTATCTTAGAGCCCTTACATTTATACGTTTCACCACATCCCTTTATTCACAAACAAACCAGGTTTGGATCCTGCAAGGATCTTGGTCAGGATGGAAACGTTGTTTGTTAGTGAATAAAGGGACGTGGTGGATCTTGGTCAGGATGGAAACGTTGTTTGTTAGTGAATAAAGGGACGTGGTGGATCTTGGTCAGGATGGAAACGTTGTTTGTTAGTGAATAAAGGGACGTGGTGGATCTTGGTCAGGATGGAAACGTTGTTTGTTAGTGAATAAAGGGACGTGGTGGATCTTGGTCAGGATGGAAACGTTGTTTGTTAGTGAATAAAGGGACGTGGTGGATCTTGGTCAGGATGGAAACGTTGTTTGTTAGTGAATAAAGGGACGTGGTGGATCTTGGTCAGGATGGAAACGTTGTTTGTTAGTGAATAAAGGGACGTGGTGGATCTTGGTCAGGATGGAAACGTTGTTTGTTAGTGAATAAAGGGACGTGGTGGATCTTGGTCAGGATGGAAACGTTGTTTGTTAGTGAATAAAGGGACGTGGTGGATCTTGGTCAGGATGGAAACGTTGTTTGTTAGTGAATAAAGGGACGTGGTGGATCTTGGTCAGGATGGAAACGTTGTTTGTTAGTGAATAAAGGGACGTGGTGGATCTTGGTCAGGATGGTTGTATGTTAGTGAATAAAGGGACGTGGTGGATCTTGGTCAGGATGGTTGTATGTTAGTGAATAAAGGACGTGGTGGATCTTGGTCAGGTTGGTTGTATGTTAGTGAATAAAAGGACGTGGTGGATCTTGGTCAGGATGGTTGTATGTTAGTGAATAAAGGGACGTGGTGGATCTTGGTCAGGATGGTTGTATGTTAGTGAATAAGGGACGTGGTGGATCTTGGTCAGGATGGTTGTATGTTAGTGAATAAAGGGACGTGGTGGATCTTGGTCAGGATGGTTGTATGTTAGTGAATAAAGGGACGTGGTGGATCTTGGTCAGGATGGTTGTATGTTAGTGAATAAAGGGACGTGGTGGATCTTGGTCAGGATGGTTGTATGTTAGTGAATAAAGGGACGTGGTGGATCTTGGTGAGGATGGTTGTATGTTAGTGAATAAAGGGACGTGGTGGATCTTGGTCAGGATGGTTGTATGTTAGTGAATAAGGGACGTGGTGGATCTTGGTCAGGATGGTTGTATGTTAGTGAATAAAGGACGTGGTGGATCTTGGTCAGGATGGTTGTATGTTAGTGAATAAAGGACGTGGTGGAGTGTGTGGGTTCGATTTATTTTAGACCAACTATTTTCTGCCCTGCAGCCCACTAAAAGTACGTACGTTTCATCACACTTGAATACCGTGTGTATAATATGTTACCTTGGTACTGGTTGACCTGTGGGTAGGGGTGTATAATGGTACTGGTTGACCTGTGGGTAGGGGTGTATAATGGTACTGGTTGACCTGGGGGTAGGGGTGTATAATGGTACTGGTTGACCTGGGGGTAAGGGTGTATAATGGTACTGGTTGACCTGTGGGTAGGGGTGTATAATGGTACTGGTTGACCTGGGGGTAGGGGTGTATAATGGTACTGGTTGACCTGGGGGTAGGGGTGTATAATGGTACTGGTTGACCTGTGGGTAGGGGTGTATAATGGTACTGGTTGACCTGGGGGTAGGGGTGTATAATATGTTACCTTGGTACTGGTTGACCTGGGGGTAGGGGTTTCTCTGACCCTGGACCATCTGTCTGGGGAGATGCTGCTGCTGCTGCTGCTGCTGCTGCTGCTGGAGCTATACACACACACACGACCACAGAAGAAGAACAGACACAACCACATCAATTCCTGTTCTATGGCATCACTTCCTGTTCCATGACATTATTAAAGGTCAATTCAATCAGTAGCCAAAACGTACAGGCTACTATCACCTGGAAACAACCATGAAAAAGCAATACAGTTAGTACAATATGCCTGACAATATGCCTAACCCTTCACATAAAATGTTGTCAAACTAACTGTACGAACCTGTTATAAATAGGTAGTCTGGAGTGTGTATAATGTCACTCAATTAAGAATGTTCATTTAGTGCACAACAATTTATCTCTGTTTGTTGTCAATCTTGAATCAGTGTCTGTCAGGTTAATTCTAGTAACCCAGTATATATAGCTATAGTCTGTCAGGTTAATTCTAGTAACCCAGTATATATAGCTATAGTCTGTCAGGTTAATTCTAGTAACCCAGTATATATAGCTATAGTCTGTCAGGTTAATTCTAGTAACCCAGTATATATAGCTATAGTCTGGCAGGTTAATTCTAGTAACCCAGTATATATAGCTATAGTCTGGCAGGTTAATTCTAGTAACCCAGTATATATAGCTATAGTCTGTCAGGTTAATTCTAGTAACCCAGTATATATAGCTATAGTCTGTCAGGTTAATTCTAGTAACCCAGTATATATAGCTATAGTCTGGCAGGTTAATTCTAGTAACCCAGTTATATAGCTATAGTCTGTCAGGTTAATTCTAGTAACCCAGTATATATCGCTATAGTCTGGCAGGTTAATTCTAGTAACCCAGTATATATAGCTATAGTCTGTCAGGTTAATTCTAGTAACCAGTATATATAGCTATAGTCTGGCAGGTTAATTCTAGTAACCCAGTATATATAGCTATAGTCTGTCAGGTTAATTCTAGTAACCCAGTATATATAGCTATAGTCTGGCAGGTTAATTCTAGTAACCCAGTATATATAGCTATAGTCTGTCAGGTTAATTCTAGTAACCCAGTATATATAGCTATAGTCTGGCAGGTTAATTCTAGTAACCCAGTATATATAGCTATAGTCTGGCAGGTTAATTCTAGTAACCCAGTATATATAGCTATAGTCTGTCAGGTTAATTCTAGTAACCCAGTATATATAGCTATAGTCTGTCAGGTTAATTCTAGTACCCAGTATATATAGCTATAGTCTGGCAGGTTAATTATAGTAACCCAGTATATATGCTATAGTCTGTCAGGTTAATTCTAGTAACCCAGTATATATAGCTATAGTCTGGCAGGTTAATTCTAGTAACCCAGTATATATAGCTATAGTCTGTCAGGTTAATTCTAGTAACCCAGTATATATAGCTATAGTCTGTGCAGGTTATTCTAGTAACCCAGTATATATAGCTATAGTCTGGCAGGTTAATTCTAGTAACCCAGTATATATAGCTATAGTCTGTCAGGTTAATTCTAGTAACCCAGTATATATAGCTATAGTCTGTGAGGTTAATTCTAGTAACCCAGTATATATGGCTATAGTCTGGCAGGTTAATTCTAGTAACCCAGTATATATAGCTATAGTCCTGGCAGGTTAATTCTAGTAACCCAGTATATATAGCTATAGTCTGGCAGGTTAATTCTAGTAACCCAGTATATATAGCTATAGTCTGTCAGGTTAATTCTAGTAACCCAGTATATATAGCTATAGTTTTGTCAGGTTAATTCTAGTAACCCAGTATATATGCTATAGTCTGGCAGGTTAATTCTAGTAACCCAGTATATATAGCTATAGTCTGGGCAGGTTAATTCTAGTAACCCAGTATATAGCTATAGTCTGGAGGTTAATTCTAGTAACCCAGTATATATAGCTATAGTCTGTCAGGTTAATTCTAGTAACCCAGTATATATAGCTATAGTCTGTCAGGTTAATTCTAGTAACCCAGTATATATAGCTATAGTCTGGCAGGTTAATTCTAGTAACCCAGTATATATAGCTATAGTCTGGCGAGGTTAATTCCTAGTAACCCAGTATATATCGCGATAGTCTGTCAGGTTAATTCTAGTAACCCAGTATATATAGCTATAGTCCTGTCAGGTTAATTCTAGTAACCCAGTATATATAGCTATAGTCCTGTCAGTGTTAATTCTAGTAACCCAGTATATATAGCTATAGTCTGTCAGGTTAATTCTAGTAACCCCAGTATATATAGCTATAGTCTTGGCAGGTTAATTCTAGTACCCAGTATATATAGCTATAGTCGTGCAGGTTAATTCTAGTACCCAGTATATATAGCTATAGTCTGGCAGGTTAATTCTAGTAACCCAGTATATATAGCTATAGTCTGGCAGGTTAATTCTAGTAACCCAGTATATATAGCTATAGTCTGTCAGGTTAATTCTAGTAACCCAGTAACAACTTAGAATGTTCATTTAGAACACAACAGGTATAGAGAGAAAATCAGGAGATAATAGTATGCATGTCTGCATGTTGTGTTGTGCCAATCACATTCAACTTGCTGTGTGTGTGTGTGTGTGTGTGTGTGTGTGTGTGTGTGTGTGTGTGTGTGACTTAGGGAGTTCAGAACTCTTTAACACCAGTTTCCACACAGAGGGAAAAATACAAGTAAAACACCAAATTATCACAGCAGGTGTTGTGTACACACACACACACACACACACACACACACACACACACACACTATCTGAGGACATCAAAGGAATCCTAAAGCATCGGGAGGGGGTTAGTGTAGAGGGGGATGTTAGTAAACGTGAGAGCTGATTATAAATGTGTGACTGTGTGTCTGTGACTGTGTCTGTGACTGTGTGTCTGTGACTGTGTGTCTGTGACTGTGTGTCTGTGACTGTGTGTCTGTGACTGTGTGTCTGTGACTATGTGTCTGTGACTGTGTGTGTGTGTGTGTATATATATAGACAGCTAAAGAGGAGAGGAGACGCTTTGGTGATTAATTTGCAACACAGACAGACGGGGGAGAAAGAGAGAGACGGTGCGGTAATCATGTCCCCACATCCACCTGCTCCTCCTCCCCCTCTCTGGTCTGTCCCTTCATCTCCCTCCCTCCTCTCACCTGTTCAGCCAGTAGTTGTTGTTGTTGTTGTTGTTGTTGTCTCTGCTCTCTCATTAGCTGTTGTTTCTGTTGTTCCATCATGTGGAGCTGGACTCTCTTCTCCTGCTCCATCACCATCATCTGTTTCATCATGGCCGCCTGCTGCTGGTTGCCCAGGTAACCGGGAGGGGCCCCTGCGCCCTGATTGGGCCCTGCGCCAGAGGCCACACCCCCGGCAGGGTGAGGGGGCGGGACGGCACCGGGCTGCCGCGACAT